GGATGCGGGGTGAGCTGAGGTGCAATACTGAGTAATTACATCAGTCTGCAAAGGAATTCCCTTGGGAAATTAAAACTTCTTTGATCTCTATCAAGCAGGTAGGATAGCTGAGTCCTTCATTAATTTACTCTGATTTTTGCTTTTGATCTTATATGTAGGCCCTGGACATTAGGTAGAGTAACAGCAGGTAGAAATTTCCCACCAATAAGAAGCCTGTAGTTTTGCGTATCTGCTGGTAGCCAAGGCCCGGATGTGCTTCCAGTTGGCGATCAGATCCTCTTTCATATGCTGGATCTGTGGTGCTTCTGAAGGGTGGGAAAGCATCAGCTTGTCTGCTTTGGCGCATAACTCCTTCACCTTTGGGAGGACAAAGAAACCATCTAGCAGGAACGCCAAGCACTTTGACGTCTCCTGACAAAGTTCTGTGGGAGGAGGGTAGCAAAATAATCATATACATGATAATAAGTTATAAATATGTTTAAATTGATAGATTTATATTAATATATTAACGCACTATGTTAATAGCAGTTTACCGAGCCCTTTTAGTCTCTTATTATGCTAAGCACTTTACATGCATTTCCTCATTTTACAGTCTTTATTTAATAAGACTGTGATGTAGAAATTATTTTTATTACCCCCTTTTAAATCGCTTCATTAGTCATTTATTTTTGTCAGAGAGAGAAAGAGAGAGAGAGAGAGAGAGAGAGAGAGGAACACCCCCTAGTGGGGCACGGTCACACTGCAATAATTTTTTTTTTTTTTGGCCAGCCTCAAGCTCATGATCCTCCTGTCTTAACCTCCCCAGTCTCTGGAATTTCAAGGGCATGTACTGCACCCTGTCCTGAGGTTGGTTCAGGAATCAAACCCAAACCTACCATGTAGTACCTGCCTGCCGAGCTGTAATCCTTTCTACTTCATTCATCTATCATGTCAGGATTTGGGGCAAACACACACACACACACACACACTCCTGGCGTGTTTTACAAGCCACTGTGGTCAGAATTTGAAACTCACTGGACCATATGAGATCGGGTTCCCTAAGCACTGGGCTTCACCATTGTGCTATAGGGCCAGCTCTCTCGTTTTCCCTTTTATGTGAAAATTCAGAGCTATTTTATTTTCTAAAGGTCATTCTACTAATAAAGCCAAAATTAAGGTTTGAACCTAGGTTTGCTTCCTCATCTTTCTCTGTTTCCTTAAATATGATTTTGGAAGTTAGAAAGCATTTCTGCCCAGAAGGCTAAGAAAACTCTGATAATGCCAGATCACTTTAAGAGTGATCCCTGAGAAGCAGGTTATGAGGGCAAAATGTGGATATGGGCGACTTTTCATGTGTTGTCCATTAGTCTTTGTAAACGCAACTATAATCGGATGTTGTCTAGGGTTTGAGATTCCAATATATTATTCATCAGATCATGGAACTTTATTAGGGGAAAAAGCTACAACAGAAGGGAGTGTGGTTAGATGAAAGGTGAGACTGTCTGACCACATGGATTTTACTGAGTGAGATTAGGGAACCAGCCTTGTAGGTACCTTTTTTGTTTGTTTATTTGCCAGAAGCACATGTGCTTGGTAGAGAGAGACAGACAAAGAGAGGGGAAGGAGGAAAGTACCAAGTGGTAGGGTGTGGTCATGCTACAATCCGGTCCTCTGCTTCTCTATCCTGCCTAGATTTTGAGCAAGCATGCACACACACTGGGTGCGTTTTTAAGATGCTTGGGCCAGGATTCAAACTGTGTAATTGGCTATGTGGGATTTGACTCCCTTAACCACCAGGCTACAAGGCCCACCCTCATTTTTTTTCCTTTTGAATCATGAAATACATAGCAAAAATACAGGAGATTATAAAACGTATGCATATTTAAATAGAACTGATTTAAATAAAAATGAATATCAACTATTCATGGACAAATTATAAACTTGAATAGGGAAGTGTATTCAAGTATCCCAGAATTTCTCCTTTACTGAAAATAGTGAATTTGTTGTGCCTAAAGGCATGATGTTAGACAAGATGACCACTAAATGCTTCTTCTAGTGCATAGGGACAGTCATTCCTGGAACGATGGATTTACCTTATCTTCCATGACTGCGAGGTTCCTCTCCAGCCCCTTGTGACTGTGAAACAGTGCCTCAGAGCTAACAAGATCTTTGCCATAGTCCTCCGAAGTGAGTAGAGGCTCCTTCTCCTTGATCCACTGTATGGCTTCTGTCACATCCCTGCCGAATAGTAACATGAGCTCCAACAAAGAATGAAAGCCATTGCAGGGCAAACGGCAGTGGAGCACACTCAAGGACCAGCTTATACAGGTAGTAAGTTATTGTGCCATCCTACGTACTAGCAAAAAGAAATGCAGACAGTTCTTGCTGTTAGTTATTATTGAGATAGTAGATGTTATGAAGATAACATCTTATAAGATATAACTTATCTTCATAACATCTACTATCTGAGATATTTGCTGCATCTGGATCAGCTGTTCAAAAATGACTTTTCCAACTCCATCTTTCACCCTTATCTAATTATTATTTTTAAGAGTTTATTTATAGATTTCTTCCATGAGTGAGATAGAGACAGAGAGATAACAACCCCAACAGGATCTTAACCCTGACATCCACCTATAGCTTTAGCCAATCCAGATCGTAGGCACAAATGTGTCTAGTGTATTTACGAAGTTCCCTGGGCACCTACCCAGAACCATCCAATGTGGGTCAACCCACCCTACAGAGCACTATGTTTTACCACTGTGCTGTTGTCTGGCCCCTTATCTAAATCTGCTTTCCTTGACTCTGCAGAGCTTCCATTACTAATTCAATTGTGCTATTTTCTTTATTGGGCTCTGATGCCTATAATATAGGCCAAGGGTCGGTCACATAGTTCTTAATTTTCCCCTTCTGGTTTTGTGAAAAGCAAGCTCATGTTGCCCTTTGGCTTGAGGTATCAACCACTAATGTTAACAGAAATAGATGGAGGCTAACGCGAATAACAGATATGGTGCTGTTTCAAAGTTTTCTATAAAGCAGTGGCCAGATCCATGCCTTTTGAATCTCTGAAGGTCTGCAGCATTGGACAGGGTTGTCCGTCTCTGGAGAGCCAGGCCATGGAGACGCTCCCAGGCTTCGTTCACCTCATCTTGCTTGAACTGAATCAAAGCCAGCTCAGGATGGTTCTCCTGTGGAAAGAAATCAACATGGGAGTTACGCAAAGATGAGGTTATATAAAAATTCATTTAAACACTTCTCTTTTCACACTGGTTTCCACAATCAGAGGTGGGGAATGATCATTCCGGACAGCTGTTTACCTTCACCAGAGCCCTACTCCCTACCTTGAACCCAATGCATGTTTCCAAAACCTAGAAAATCAAATGGTCAGATATTTTATCCTGTGCCCATAATACTGGCCCAGCCTACTGACACAGGTGACCTCGCCTGACGTTATTTTCAGAGCTTCACCTTGTTGATGCCTGCCAAACTCCATGGAAATCTTAAAAACCAAGGGGAAAGAGAGAGGGAGAGAGAGAGAGAGAGAGAGAGAGAGAGAGAGAGAGAGAGAGAATTTCCTTTATGAACTATGAATTAATTTTCTGAAACATCAGCGGTCATAAAAACTACTGAGGATGTGAGACATGTTATTTCTCTGGCCCCAGAATTATACATACATGCTTGCGTATATTATTTTGGAGAAAATAGCAAACATTTTTGTAGACCACGTGAAGCAATGAGGTCTGTTAATATCAGTTTAAGCTAGCAGCTTATGTTGATACTTTGCAGTTTTGAAGAGTTCCTGTATGCTGAAATGTTTGCTATCCTATTTCCATTCCCAAACCACTCCAGAGAGAATTTTCTATTCTTCTTCTTGAGTGTATAGTATTTCATACTATAGTGATATAATCCACACATTAAAAGAGCAGAGGATATAAACTATGTTGGAGTCATCCTTTCTGTGATAGAGAGGGAAAATGGCCTTGCTATTTTTGCCATTCCTCCCTTCAAAAGCTGGAGCCTGGGGACCAGCAAGTGCTATTGTGGTTAAGGTGCTGGACTCTGATGTGGCTGACTGTGGTTAGAGTCCCAGACCTGGGACTTCATATCCTACTAACTGAAGCCAGAAGTTCTAGGAGATCAGACCCCTCTCCATGGAGTGACTCTCCCATCTCACCTTGGCACACTCATTAGCATATTGGTTCACTCCATCCACTCTTCCCTCTCGAGCTGCTAGGTCCACTTGAAACTCTTCAAACTTCTTATGCAGAACTTCTGTGCGCTCCCAGTCCTCACCCAGCTCCACTGATGTTACAATAGCTTCCTGTGGCCACAGAAAAGTTTATGGAGTTCCCAGCAAACATTTAGGAGTGCTTGCCAGTCAAATGCCCCAAATCCCTGTTTGTATTCCCAGGATAACACAGATGGGGGAGCCTAGGAGAACCTCTCCTGGGAAGAGCTAAAAGCAGGACCATATTTCCTGAGGTGGTGTCTTGACCCAGAGGACAGTGCTATTTGTGGTTATCCTTTAGTAAGATCAGAGACCTGCCTGGCTAGAGCTCTTGGTAGCATAGCACCCTTTTATGTTTTGGAATATGAGGAATAAATTTATCCTGGTTCTACTCGATTCAACAAACTGTACACGAAAGCATTACTCTAGGCACTGTCTTGTGTAACTTCTAGTCCTAACTACAGAGTTCTTTGAACAAATATTTTTAAAATACATAGATAGAGATACTGAGAGACATGAGATTAATGAGCAAACTTGTTAATACTCTCATCAAGGTCCCTGAGAAAGAGTAAAAATATAGGATAAAGTGTTAAAGATCATGTGAGATAGAAGGGAGTTGATCCCAGATCATCCAATACCTGGTCTTTCTGGGTTCTCTTTTCCACATTCATATTCACACACTTAACCTAACCTCTACAGTGTTAACCTCCAGAATACCCCTGTAGCTTTGTCAAAATTCTCTCTTCTTACTAGGAAGAAAATTTGGAACAGACACCATGACTTCTATGTGAGCAGTCTGCAGTGAGTTGCTGTGGAGCGCTTGGAACTGAGAATGGGAGATCTGTATGCACTTCAGTCCTATACCTTGTCTTTGATCCACTCCAAGATGTCATCGCACTCCTGCAAGTACTGCTGGAGTTTCAGGGCCCGCAGCAGCAAAGCACCCCTCTCCTGGGTCAGCTCCCACAGCAGGTCCCACAGACGGCGCAGTTCCTCCAGATGGACCTTAGGGGAAGAGAAGCAGAATCACTCAGGCAGAGAAGCCATGGAGTAGGCAGGCACAGTTACTACAGAGCAGACATAATCTTAGAGATTTGTATAGAAAGGGATGTGGATAACAGTTCCTCCTCCCATTCACTCATTAATTTCAACCTTTAATAGCGCAACATATATTTAAAAGAGGAAATGAGTTAGATATAGAAATATTTACTAAGATAAGCCAAATATGAACTTCCTTAAAAGAAAGTTTGGTAAAAATGCCTTGAGGTTTAGGAGGATAAGATAAATAAAGATAATAAAATGGGAAAAAGAAAGGATGCATGGAATTGCGATCATATGAACTGAGCCTTAAGAAACTGAAATATTTTTGGCTGGTGGGTGACAGGCAGAAGGTATTTTTTTCCTTTTCTTCTTCTTTTATTTTTATAGAGATTTTTGTTTTAGGGCATATGCATTCACCAGAGAGATAGAAAGCGAGAGATCACACCCTTTGCCAGATGGAGGGGAATGGTCACACTGCAATCCCTTCTCTTCCATTCTCTTCTTGGGATTTTGTACATGCATGCTCATGTACCCAGCATGAATTTTAAGCAGCTGGGTTTGGGACTCAAAGTGTGATTGACTACATGGCAGTTCAGCAACGAAATCATTATGTCATCTGCTGTTCCTAGGTAGAAGGTATTCTAATAAAGAGCAATGGCAGAGGCATAGAAGAAACTTAGTATAAACCATGTGCCAGAAGGTATAAGAGTTATAAACTTGATGAATTATAAGGATATCAGTGGCACCACAGCAGTGAATGTTGGAACTATAGTTTGAGGCTTTATGGAAGGCTTTGAATGCCAGACTAGCTCAGAACATCATGTATTATGTACCTTGTGACTAAAGCTACCATTTATGTCACATTTTCAAGAATATATTTTTCAACTATTCCATTGCTCAAGGCAGTGTATGGACCACATCTCTCCCTGAAACCAGCAGTTAGCATCAACTACAGCACCATTAATTGCCCCATTAATTCTGATAGTTTTGACTATGTTTCAAACATTTCTCAAATATTAGTAGTGTAAGAAATCAATTTCACACACACATGCACATGAACTGTGAATAATAAAAAATATACTTTATATAAATAAAGATGTTTTGAGATTTTCTTGTCATAGGTTATTGATTCTAATGAGAGTCTATTCTGGTAAAAATCTATGATCTCAGACTGTATTTTGTAGATAATAAAATGGGCTAAAATGTTTATGTTGCATGTAGAAAGACCAGTCCTCACTTTAAAATACACAATGCAAATTTGTTATGATAATTAAAAAAATATACATGAAGAGTAAGAAGTCCACTCACATAAAAAAGGTCCTAAAATGACTGTATGTAAACAAACATATTAGGTTACAGAGTGGTAAATGGTTATTGAAATGGTGGTGATCTTCTGCTCTAGGTGTTCAGGGAAGATTGGATCTTAGGATTTTTTTTTAAGAAAAGGAGAATTTGGAGAGATACAATAGTAGCTATAGTGTGGGGAGTGTGAAAAGAAAAGCCATCATAAGTAAAGGAAAGAAGATTTCAGAGAAGATTAAAATGTGAGAATATCCTTTATTTGAAGAGTTGAAGGACAAAGACACTGAGGTCAGAAGAAATAGCTAGAAAGGCCTTTGGAAAATCCAGTTCATCTGGGGAATATAAAACAAGCTGAAGTATGCCTGCTATTGAGCTAATTATCCTGCTGTGGCATAAGGAGGCACCAATGACAGCTGTTGTCTTATAGCTCTCCCCACCCCAAGGAACACAAGGACATCCTGCCATGTTTTTCTGCTTCAACCCCAGTAGAAGATAGGAAGCAAGAACCCCAGTTCCAAAGTCAACTCATCAAGGTTTATAGCTGGTATAATAAGTTAAAATCCTGCAAACAAAATTAACAATTAGAAACGTCCCTTCCAAAGCCCTACCACACATTTACCTTGGTGTCCTCATGGGCAAAATGACCCTCAGAAAATCGGACTTCCCTAGTTTCTTCCAGATTAGGGATGGCTCTTGATTTTGCTTCCACCTCTGCTTTGAAGGCTTCATGCTTTTGATATTTCCCCTGAAGTTCAGAAAACAGAGTTTATGATTAATGAAGCATAATCTCCATGGTCAATAAAGTGGTCTTTGCATTCTTATTTTTAGGCAGAACTATGTGTTCCCCAACTGAATTAAATGATAGTTCATGACTATGGCCAGGGCAGTCACATCCTAGATAAAACAGTTCCTCTAGAAAACCCACTGAAATAGAGTCCTGGGCTCACTTGGACACTATAGAAGGATGTTCTTGTCCCCGCTACTTCTGGGGAAACTGTCAGTAAATATTCTATTTTTTTTTAAAGTTCCATAAATTACTGTGAAGATAAAAGAGTAGAATCCATAGTGTTATTCCCCCTAAAAGGAATTAGCTGAGTTATACTGAAAGTAGAACACTATGAGGATAGTAATGACTTTTTTTAAAAAAATTATTATTAAAAGAGATTTTTGCTATAGGGTGGGTGTACTGACTGGAGGGACAAGAGAAAACAGAGACAGAAAGCAAGAAGTCTCCCTCTGTAGGGGGTAGATGGTCATGCCCAAATTCCTTTTCTTTCATTCTCCTTTTGGGATTTTGGGCATGCACACAAATAGGCCTGGTGTGAGTTTGAAGCCCCCAGGTCCAGGACTCAAATTGTGGTTGACCTCGTGGGAGCCTAGCACTTTAACCACTATACCACCTGCTGGCCCAAGTATTTTTTTAAATTGGAAAGTATTTTTCAACCTTTAGTATAATAGGCTTTGTTCTTGATTTCATAATTAAATTGATCCACTTAATATACATTTTTGTTCTCATTTAAATGTTCCCTGTCTATTATTGATTGCATATGTAACCCTTTGTTCTGATCATAACTACACATATTATAATACTAGGTATATAGATAGAGGTAGGGCTTCCACTAGACTTCACATCCGGGGATCTCTCATGTAGACTCAACAAGAGCCAAAAATAACAATTTGGAGTGGGAGCATATTTAGCACAGTTTAACTCTGTCTCCAAGGACAGTGGAGAGCAGTTACTATGAAAGCAATGATGACTCTTCACCCTGATTTCATCTTTGATGTCACAAAATTTAAAAATGACCTAGTAGATTAGAAATTCCTTGAATTTTTCATTCTCTGTTCTGTCTATAGCTTAATCGCAAGTGAATATTACACCCATAGAATGTTATCTAGGCAAACCTCCTTTGCAAATAAGAAAGACTCTGACGCTTAAGAAGTTGAAGACGTGGATGGGCTGTTTAGAAGTCGAATTACTGTTTTTAACAGATAGTCTAATCTTTTTTTTTTGCATTACTCCTTGCAGTTTACCAGATATATACTTATATTAAAAAATGTAAATTCTAGGGAACCAGCAGTTAGCGTAATGGCTATGTTGCTGCACTCCCACGTAGTCGATTGTGGTTCACGTCCCAGACCCGGTGGCTTAAACTCACGTCGGGCACGTGTGCATGTGTGCCCAAGATCCAGAGAGGAGAATGGAGGAGAAGGGATTGCGGTGTGGCCATCCCCCCTGGGGGGTGATTTCTCGCCTTCTATCTCTCTGTCTCTCTCTGTCTGGCGAGTGCACGTGCCCTATAGCAAAACCCTCTCCAAAAAAAAAAAGAAAAAAAATGTAAATTCTAAATGTAACTTCTGTGTTTTCAAAAACTGACATATTGTCCCTTTTGTTAGATTTTTCCTTTCTAGGTTACCCCTCCACCTTTATAAAGGGAAATAGACTTTTAGGCTTTCTTGTAATTCAGTTCTTTAGTATTCCACTCTACTACTCCTTTTGTTTTATTTCTAAACCAAATATGATTGCACTCATATCCACACATCAATATTATCATAAAGAAAAACATTTTTCTCTCTAAACATTTGAGGGTCTGCTCTGGAAAAGTCAATGGAACTGTGTAACCTGTATATTGGTTGGGTCTTCATAGCTCTTATCGCCAGCAATCTTGAGTTTCTCTAAGATCCACTTTTCCAAGTCGTCTGCGTCTCTCCTGAAAACCTGGTATTGATAGGACTCTTCAAGCTTCTGACCCCTCTCAGCAACCAGTTCCTTGAACCTCTGGTACCGAGTCAACACTTCCTGACGTCTCTGCTGGATCTCTTCAGCTGTTTCCAAAACCTTCGGCCCACTGCTCTCCACAACCTGCAAGTTAAAAAGTTCCTAGGTATTGCTTTTCAAATGTCTAGTAAGTCTTACGACATTGTATGTAAATGTGCATTGTTGGAAGGGATGAAGTATATGAGTGGCCTTCAGAAAGTTCTTTGAAAATGCATGGATTTCAAAAATGCAAACTTGTACTTTAATTCTATTTTCCACAAACTTTTTAACATACCTTTGCATTTATATAATTTTTAACCATATGTAGCTACTGTTTTTCCTAATTATTCTTAATCATCTAGAAGACTCCTGACTTTTCACATAAATGTATGCCAACATTAATTAAGTTCTATAAATAGAATTAAATTCAGCTGATGATGGAACAAATTCAAATGAGCAAAATCAGAATTTCAGATGGATAAAGAGAAATGTAAATTATTATTTTCAAGCACTAGAAAAGTTTTGACAGATGCTGTTCATTCTGAATTTAATTCAATGAGTAATTAAGAAGGGCTTCCAATTGATGAATGATATAAAGCTTGAAAATTTTTCTTCCTACTTAAAAATGTAGCTCATGTATGATTTACTTTTCATTTGCTTTTTCACAAAGTAAATAAATTGATTTAACCACAAATCAAAAGTTCAGTCTGCTGTTTACCCAATTATCACAATTTTATATTACTAGCATCCCAATAACTGGTTTTCAGAATATAAAATATTTTACTGCCACACAACATAAGATATCCCTTTCTCATAAAGGGATTCAACCTGTTTATAACAATAGTGTGCAAAATCCTCAGAGAATCCACCTTCATTCATCTGGGTATAAATACTGTTTTCCCTAGCTCATCTCAGCTAGAATATTCAATATCAAGTTTAAATTTGCTGTCTTTTTCATCCTAAATATAATTACTATTCTATGGACGGTCATTACTAAAGAGGCTATAAACTGAATGATTACAGAAAAGCTTAAAATTTTGGGGGTACTATCTTCCTCCAAGTTAACTAGTTGTTCTCTGTTTAAACTAGTTTAAAGAAGTTATTGCTGAGTTTTCATTTTATATAGACATAAGCTCAGGGATATTGTGTAAATGAGACATTCACAAAAAAGAAAAAATTAAGGCTTAAATTCTATACTTCCTAATAGTTAAAAACAAAAAACTTAATAACCCTGTTAAAGATATATAAATAGTTCAAAGTATAGAGTTTTCTTAATAGTATTAGTGATAAATTGTACTGAACAGAAGTCCATACTCACGGTTTCCTTTGGAGAGTTCTCCATTTTTCCCAAAGGTCTAGAACTTCACAAGGTAAAAGGTATTTGAAAAAGAGAGAAAGAATTCACATGGAACTGCCCAGCCCCATTCAAACAAGGAACAGAAATGTTAAGTTATGGTAAGGACAAAAAAAAAAAAAAAAGTCTCTTGTTGGTCCAAGTATCTCGCCAGACATAGACAATCAACATTATCTTCAAAAGACATCCAGCTGAGGCAGCTGCTAACTTTCACAGATGCTAGGTGTGACTCAGCAGTTTTGGGGGGACTAGAGCTCTTAATATGTCTCAATAAGACTTCAAAAAAATGAAAGTAAAGACTTCAGATGAAAAATTAGTGAGGAAAAAAACACAGTAGATGAAAGATGAAAACTATTTTAAGATATTGGGCTTTGTTTGTTTAGTTTTAGATTATAAAATGTTTGAATATCATAAATGAGGAAAGAATTCTGGGTTTCCCATTCATGTGACTCTGTGCAGGTGCAAGAACTCAGTTAATACATAGAAGGTTCTTTTTTTTTAATATATTTTGGTACTTTATTTTTCTGTTTTTATCTAGCTCTAGGAAATTCAACTCAACAACTTTATCAAAATCAACCACAAATTTTTAATAGCTCATAGATTAGGTGGATAATTTAATTGTACCTTTAATCAAGTCAATGGACTAAGAAAAGAAATAAGATATATGAACTATATGAATGTATTTTCATTTCATGAATCATAAATGAGGATACTCACTTGATAAACTAATAACGTCACAACAACATTTGAAAATGGGACTGAATTAACATATGAAAGACAAATCATTTTATTTTTTATATTATATATATATAATTTTAATATACATATATATTATTATCTAATTTTTACTATAGGGTGCATACGCTCACTAGAGAGAGACTGAGAGAGAGAAAGTGAGAAATCACTCACCAGGAGGGATGGCCATACCACAGTCCCCTCTCCTCCATTCTCTTCTAGGGATTTTGGACATGTATGCACACATACCTTTCATTATTTTCAAGACATGGGGTCCCAGACTCAGAACGCTCAGTTGGTCATGTGGTATCCAGCCACCCCAACCACCACGCCACTCACTGAATTGTACATATTATCATTATTATTTTTAAAATTTTAACTTTATTTATTTATTTTAACTTGACAGAAAAGGACAGAGTGAGAGAAAGAGAGAGAGAGGGAAAATGGGAAAGCAAGCTGCCAGATCTGGGACTTGAACTGCGGTTGGCCATGTGGGAATCCAGCACCCTTAACCATCATGCCACTGGCTGGCCCCAGTATATATTATTTATAATTAGAAAAAAAATGAGGCACAATTTTTTTTAAAGCTGCAGTTTTTTTTTAACATTATTTCTTCTATGAGTAAGAGAGACAGAGACAGAGAGACATGACCCCAACAAGATCTTGATAAATGATCCAGTGTCATCCTTGAACCAATTCTGGATCATGGGTGTACATGTGCCTAGTATACTCTGGGAGGTCCTGGGCTGTGAACTCAGAGCCTTCCATTGTGGGTCAAGCTTTCAGAATGTTGCATTTTACCAATGCACCAAAGTTAGTCTTTGGTGAAATAGTTCTTTTAGTCTACCTTATCAAAGTGAAACAAAGAAGCAAAAAGAAAGGAGTGAGTTGATTACAGACCCTCTTGCAAAGCAGCAGGGCTATCCATGACAAATTTTATTCTAGTGTAAATTCAATTTGAATAGGCTAGCTTTCAAGTTGTACCAGAGGAGAATTAGGTTCTTTCTTTGTGGTTTCTCCTGTTTCTTGTTAATCCCTCCCAGAGAATTTATGAGACATTTGCTTTCCTTTTATATTTATTTATTTCCTCCATCAGTGAGAGAGGCAGAGAGGGAGAGACAGAGAGACAGAGAGAGAGAGAGAGAGAGAGAGAAAGAAATACCCTTAACAGGGTCTTTATGCCATAAACTACTTCCAGCTTCAGGCAATGGGCATGTATGAATCTGGATCATGGGCATATATGCATCTGGCATGTTCAGAGAGTAAAGACCTCTCTGAACCTTTCCCACAGAAACTCAGAACCTTCCCATGCAAATCAGACTCACAGAGTGATGTTACTGCTGCACCACTGTCTGGCCCCTTTTATTTTCTCTTTTTGAATGTTTTACATTACTTTGCTTTTCCATATGATTTTATTATATTCTAATCAAATTTGGTAATAAAAGCAGAATAAATACAAGTTTAGAGAATACACTATATCTCATGTTCTGAGAAACTTTTGTCTGGAGTTGAAGGAGCATTCTTTTATCTTTATCTAAGAGATAAGAAGTAGGATCTATTGAGTATCTACCATATATTAATTTACGTGTTTCCAGGGCTGATTTATATTTCATAATTTTTGATCTTCGGAACATTGTGCAAAACTGGTATTATTATCCCCATTTTTATATGAGAAAGCAGTCTCTGAAAGGCAAATTCTTATTCCATGATTATTTATTTGTGAATATTTGAACAAAGACTTGACTCCATATCATTAAGAGATCCATGTCATTCTGTCCTTTTTGACCATTGTTCTCTTAGCCACATTTCTGGTTCTCTTCTCCTGTTCCAGAGCCATCTCACCAAAAATGCCAAGCATGTGATGACATTTTGACCAAAAAAAGTAGTATGGCCCAACTAGGATTTATTACTATGTAATAAAATGATTCTCTCTTCAACATATGATGTTGGTAAAATTACGTATTCAAATACAAGCTGGAATGAAGTTGGACTCTTATCTTAAACCATACTGCAAAATCAATTCAAAATGTAATGAAGACTTAAATGTAATACCTGAGATTTTTTTTTTCTTTTTGAGAGATTTTTGCTATAGGGTATGTGCTATAGGGTATGAGAGAGAAAGAGAGATAGAATGTGACAACTCACTCTCCTGCCACAGCACAATCCATTCTTTTCTATTTTCCTCCTGGGATTTTGGGCATGTACACACATGTGCTTGGTGTGAGTTTCAAGCTGCTGGGTTTGGGATTTGAACCACTGTCAGCCATATGGGAGTCTAACACCTTAAGCACTATGCTACCTACTAGCCCATCTAAGATTGTTAAACTCCTAGAAGGAAGTATTGACATTAGTCAAGTATGAAATTGGTCATGGCAATAATTTCTTCGATAAGGCTACAAAATTACAGTCAACAAAAGAAAAATATAGATAAGTGGGACTATGTCAAACTAAAAAACTGAGAAAATAATCAACAAATAAAAAGTCAACCTATGAAATGGGAGAAACATTTGACTATATCTAATGAGAGGTTAAAATCCAAAATATATGAGAAATTCCTTCAAATTAATGACAAAAATACATACATGAAATTTGTGGAAGCTATGCTAAGTGAAATAAGCCAATCACACAAGAACAGGTAATGTATGATAGCACTTATATGAGGTATATAAAATAGTCAAATCCATAGAAGCATAGAGTAAAATGGTGGTCATCAAGAGCCAGCATAAGGGAAATTAGGGAATTGTTATTCAACAGGTATAAAGTTCCAGTTATGCAAGATAAGTGCTAGAGATCTGCTGTACAATGTTGTGCTTTTTCATAATATTGCACTAATGTAAAAATACACAATACAGAGTTATACATTTACTTTTTTAAAAAGGTTAGTTTTCACTTTGTATTTCATTTAAAACCATCAATACAAACAATAGTCTTCAGAGCAAAGTAGCAACATGGAAGTCCATGAGAGATATTCAGGGAACAGATTCAATATATCAAAACAGATGAGTTCTTAGAGTTTTCAGTCATTGCAGGCAGGAGAGTTTTATGGTAAAAGTTGCTCTAACAGCACTCTGGCAGCTGCTACTTTTGAGTTTAGTCACACTCTGTCCTTCCTGTCATTCGAGACTGATTTATTCTCTAGTCTCTGAGTATTGTTTATCATTATTAATATAAATATCAGAGCATGTTCCTTGGAGTAAATTAGGACTATAATGAGAAAATTTTATAATCTGATGACTTAATACTTGGCCTTTTAACCTTCTCCTTATATCTGTACAATGTTATCTCCAAAGAATGCTTATTGGCTCTAATCACATAGAGATCTTGATTAGAAAATACTCATAAAGAATGCATGTCAAATATCAAAGGTATAGTAGAATGTACAGTCTATAATATTGTATGCTATTCTGGTACATAAATGAGTGCTGAGAGGTTATAGCAGATGCTAAGATTGATCACAAAAAGCTTAATTTTTAAAAATGTAGG